CTTCTGAGGCTATATGATACATAAGAAAATGATGCATAAGAAGCAGTCATTATTGTGCAAATTATTAAATGTGTTAAAGCCTAAGAGAATAAGGCAAAAAGAGGAAGGCTAAAGATACAGCATACATTCCCACGTTCAGACATCTGCTTTTTGCACAGATGTATAAATTAGCACTGTACTCGTACAAAGAATATCTACACACTGCCATACCAAATAATGCCTTATTAACAGAAAACCTCTCATGTTTATCTGCCCCGCGCTGATATTAGCCAGCTAATGGGTCTGCCTGTTTGTGTGTCTGTCCATTAGTATGCGGCTCAATTCTGAGTGGATAATTAGCAGGTGTTTTAGCATTATGGATAAAATCCAAATCAGATAAACACACAAATACACGCATACGAAAGGCTTGGCATTCAACACACACATATTCATTTCAAACACTCCTGATGCCCACACAATGTCGCTGACAAGGACACAAACGAGAGCGAGATTTGTTTCTTCATAATGTTGACTGATCCACCATAAACACAAAACCAGTTTAAAATGAATCGAATTGAAGGCCTGAGATGTGATCAGAAGGAATATGAAACGCTAAAAATATCAAAATGAAAAAATACTAAGAAAAATCTAGAATCTAAAATCTATTGTTACTAGGGATGCGTGTATGTATATATATATATATATATGTAGTTTAGATTAGTTTTTCAATTATCTAAAATGCAAAGTTAATCTTTAAGGAGTAATATTTCATTTTTAAAAATGTATTACTTAATAATCTGGAAATTAACATTATAATGCTATGATAGTTAAATTCACTTGTAGGGTTTAAAATTAATACAATTTTGGTATTTTATTTTATTTTACTTTATTTACACAAAATAGTATAAATAGTATATCTATTTATTAAAATTTATTTATAAAAAATCTCAATAATATTATTAACATTATTTGTTGGTTATTGACCATAACATGCTCAACATAATTATTAACTTTATATATATATATATATATATATACACAAATACACACTTTTTTCAGGAATCTTTGTTCAAGCTCAAAAGAACAGCATTTATATGAAATAGAATTTTAGCTCTATTTTAAGACTTTACTGTCACTCTTGATCTATTTAATGCATCCTTGCTGAGTAAAAGTAGAGTTAATTTCTTCCACATACATTTAGTTTTTGAAATTTAATTGCAACATTTAAAATTACTTTTTCAGATTATTTTTTTTTTTTCATATAAAATAGTATAAATTGTACAAATCTCAATAATATTTATTATTTGATATTAACATTATTTATTGGTTATCAATCATAACACAAACATAATTATTACCTTTATAATACATCAGAAAATCAGTGCAACCCTAATCATGATCCATCCTTAATCGGAACCTCATAAATTAAACGAGTCTGATGAAGATGTTCACAAGTAAAACTAGACTGAAATAAAATCCATAAGTATGTACTGCAGTGGTCTGCTGTAGTTATCAGACCGTTTGACCTTGAATGAGCACGTGATCATGTGTAAACCTCAGGCATGACCGGTTAAAGGGAATTTAAACCTGAATTTGTGGGAAATCTAGGGGTTCTGACAGCTCAAACATTGAGTTATGACTCAGAATCAGCCTCCTGCTTTGTGAATGTGACTGGAAGCAGAAAGCTGTGACGTTCTTCTCTATGAGCAGCTGTTCAATACATGTGGCCGCAAATGTGCTTGTATGTGTGTGCATTCAAACAGATGCGTGCGTGCAGTCACTAAAATAAAAGGAATGTCAACTTTTACTTTTACTTTCTTCTGTCAAATGCAAAGGTGAACGTTTTTTGAAACCCTTTTATAGATATCTGAGAAACAGACCACTTCATTTATTTCATGATACTTTTCACCTCTGTTAATTGAAGACTTGAAGCCTTAAAATATAATTTATATGAACAACTTATTATAAATAAAAAATGGCCAAGTTATTCTCCAAAAATCCCCTTTTTTGTTCTACAGAGAAAAGAAAGTCATGTGGGTTTGGAATGACATGAATGTAAAAAATACTTTTCCTCCAAATCACAAGTCACTTCAGCTTTAATTATTATGCGTACGTAGTTCTGATAAGACATCGGCCGTAATTGCTTTGATCGTTTTACGTGACGCCTCTAATGCAGGGCTGAAATAACGCAGACCTGACAAAGTGGTGAATCAATTAATCTATCATTTCAAGACTGTCACAACAGTACAGCTCATTAATTAATCTCCAGAAAGCCTTGATGAGTGATGTGTGTGTGTGTGTGTGTGTGTGTGTGTGTGTGTGTGTGTGTGTGTGTGTGTGTGTGTGTGTGTGTGAAAGAAAGATAGACAGAAACAGTTAGTTAGAGATAGGTGGCAGTTGAGTTTCATCTAAAAGCTGCCCACGTACGAGAGATATTCAAACATACACACACCATCCCACACACACCAACAATGCATTCTCTATCTGCCAATACTCAATTAGTGTCAGCTGTCCAATCTCGACTGCTCTCACATCCAAACACACACACACACACACACACACACACACGTCTATCTGTTCAGCCGAGATTGTATGAGCAAACACAAACACCCAAAGCACACACAGTTAATGGCCCATAACTACAAAAAAAAATAAAAAATCTAAGAAACATTAGGCCAGACAAACATCACATAAATTCAAAAAAAAAAAAAAAAAAGAGGCAGAAAATGTGTCATATTTTTTTGTTTAAATCTCCTATAATGGCAAATGATAAAGTCTTAATGTGAGACTTTAAGTAGATTTTTCATCTCCTTAATGTGCACCAACATCTAAGCAAGTCATTTATATATTAATTTCCCCAAAAAGTAGAAACACTGGTGCTTTCAACATTGTAGTTGTTTATATCATTGAAAACTGTATTATCGCCCAGCTCTGATCTGCTAAAGGCGAATATAATGCATGAAGATATTAAGATATTATAAACATCAACATCAAGATTGTCTGTAGCTGCTTTGAAACAATGTATTGTAGGAAGTGATATATAAATAAATTTGACTTGATTTGACTTGACCTGTTTGGCGGACCAATGGCAGACGAGGGGCGTGTTTCAAAAACAGTTCAAACTCAATCATTGGTTTTGTCAACTGATGTGCAATGGCTGCAGTAAGTCCACAAAGACGTAGAGTGCTTTATTTGTCATTTTAGGTTTTGGAAGGGAGCTCAGAAAGACTTTTGTGGGCTCCAGAACAGTTCTTTATCAGTCCGTGTGGCATTATGTCACCAAAAAAGGTGGACTCACAGATGGACCGCACCTCTGGGACAGAACCGTTCCATTTGGTTCCACTAGTGGTGCAGGAATTAAACATTTCTCCTTTAAATCAAGACAACAGCATGCAGTAAACACACAAGAGAAAACGCAGGAAAAAAAGACTTGTTAAAAAAAATGCATAGTTTAAACTGGTAACCTCTGGTGGATGGTTAATCCAGTCAAAAGGGTTAAATTACCAAACATGTGCAAGAGACTGAGCATGTGTGACTGATTTGGTTCATTAACCAGAGAAGGCAGCCTGCAGGAGTAATGCATCTTTCACTCACACACACACACACACACACACACACACACACACACACACACACACTCATGCACACTTTGTGCCATCTCTGCAGAATGGCTGTAATCTTTTTGCTATGCAATCCTTTTAGCTAACATGCTAACCTCATTCCAGCAGTCCCCGCACACCCTGACAGCATGCATCAGAGAGTATTTGAACCCAAAGGCATATTACTGCACCAGGACCGGAGCAGCGCTAATGCAGCCAAGCTCTTCTCCTCATCCTGTGCCATTTATGTGAGTCTTTCCCTCTCTTTCTGTGCTAGTTCCATCTCCAGATTGTGCAATTACAACATCTGGACTATAAGAAAAGCTGTATGTTGATGTTTTGCTTACATTGTGAAACCAGGAACAAACCTGAAATCACCAACATTGCAGGGACTTTTCAACAGTCACCTTAATAAAAAGATTAAATAATGTCTTAATGAACATCTAAATAAAATAAAATGGTTTCTGTAAGGGTTACTTTTAGACTTACTAAAATTAGCTCAATATAAAACAACAGAAGTCAATGAAAAGTCCTTGTATGGATGCATATGTTGAGAGATGAAAGAGATGCACAATTAGAAAAGTGACATAAAGGTAAATCAACTGATGCAGGCAACATAATTATTACGGAAATATTATTTGGCAAAGTATCATTTATCTCAGTACATTTATAGCAGAATCGGCGTCAAGTTTATGAATGAGATCAATATATACGCATTCAGAGACACAAACTAAATAGAAACAACACTCCAACAGACAGACAGAATTACAGAAAGACAGACAGAGAGATACATGGATAGATGGATAGATAAATAGACTGAATGATAGAAAGACAGAACTATACATAGGTATATAGACAGAACGACCGACAGACAGACAGACAGATAGATAGATAGATAGATCTGTGCTCTATGCCACATTACTTTCATCGTTGTGTTGAAGTTCAAATCACTTTTTAATGAGCGATTCATTAAGTTCATCTCTATGTCTTCATAAAACTCTCTGCCAGTCTTTTATCATTTTACAGTCCCATTTTGACTAGATGTGATCTATTAAATTTTTAGGAATGCTGTACAAGCTCTCTCATTCCCTCTAGCACACGCACACACACATAGTGCGGAGCGCTGGCAGAGCTCAGCTGTGGTTTGTGAATGGGATATTACATGAAGATGATGTTGCAGCCACTCTTTGATATGAGACGACCATCTCTCCCTGTCTTTCTGCATCCTCTAACTGTTCTAATCTTCCTCATACTTGATAATTGACCAATTTTTCTCCCAGATTTCATTGTACTTTCTGTCTCACTTTCTTCCTTCCTGTCGCACTTGTTCTCCTTTCTGTCTCCATCCCATCAACACAGTTCCTTGTTTTATCGTCACATAACTCTTCCCTGTGTGGTAGCAGAGCATGCCTAAAGTCTTACCCGCTGCAGAGTGAGCTGGAGTCCCGGGTTCAGCTGGAGGTTCAGGTCTGCAGAGGAACAAGACTGGCAACGCACAGACAGACAGCAAACCAGACTGGAGCTTGAGCACACCAAAGAGAGAGAGAGAGAGGGAGAGAGAGATAGACAGAGAGGGAAAAAGAGAGAGACAGAGCAGGACAGAGACGAACACTGACTAGTTGGAGGTGAGATGAAGGGGAGAGAGAGAGTGTGAGAGGAAGATAAACGGACAGAGAGAGAGAGAGAGAAAGTGAGGGAAAGACAGACAGAGACAAGAGGAGGGGCTTAAATCGGAAAGGAGGGACAGCATGATGCCGTAAGAAAATCAGTAAGAATCAGTGAATGAATGAAGGACCAACTCAATTAATTAATGACAGAATAATAAAATGACCAGTTAAATGACCAAATGACCTAATGAATGGATCAACAAGGGAATAAACAAATGACCTAATCAATGACTCAAATAAACAAATGACCAAATGAATGAATGAACAAGTGAATGAGCAAATTACTAATAAATGACATAATGAGCAAATGAATGAACAAGCAAATGACTGAATGAAATTACATTGTGAATTAATTAATGCATTAGTGAACAAACACATAAATGACTGAATAAATGAACAAACAAATAAAAGAACAAGTTAATTAAAGGGGTCATATGATGCGATTTCAAGTTTTCCTTTCTCTTTGGAGTGTTACAAGCTCTTGGTGCATAAAGAAGATCTGTAAAGTTGCAAAGACTAAAGTCTCAAATCCAAAGAGATATTCTTTATAAAAGTTAAGTCAACCACAAACGGCTCATTCTAACACGCCCCCACATGTCTGCGTCACTATGTGGAAATATTAGCATAATGCCGCCCAAATGTGCACGCAAAGAAAGAAGGCGTGGATTCAGGAACAGCAGTAGTGTTGATGCAGCCATGTCAGGGAGACGCTGTGTGTTTCAGTGCGAAAGCAAAAGCACTTTATTTGGCCTCACAAAATAATGATCTTTAAAATAGCATCATATGACCCCTTTAACGCAAAATATGATCAGTTTAGTTTAAAAACAACAGAATTTATGTAAAGTCCCATAAAGCAATAGTTCACCAAAAAAATCATTATTTACTTACCCTCATGTCATTTTTTTACATTCATATAAAAGTCCAAGTTATGACTTTTGGATGAACTATCAAGCGTCCTGCATTTTCTCCTGATTAAAATGCCACAGTAACCTTGAATGTGTCTCTTACAGAGTTTCAGAAGACATCTCTGCTCGCATTAAATTCAAGGCATTAATGTTTGCCTACAAAACCACCTCTGGCTCTGCACCCTAAATTCATTACTTCAGTTATGTACCCTCTAGAAGCTTGCGTTCTGCAAGTGAACGGCGTATTATTGTGCCATCTCAAAGAGGCACAAAATCACTTTCACAGACTTTTTCATTAACTATTCCCTCCTGGTGGAATGACCTGCCCAACTCAATCCGAGCAGCTGAGTCCTTAACCATCTTCAAGAAATGACAGACTTGTCATTTGCACTTATATATTGTTGCTCTTTTGTTAGTTTTGACTGCTTTTATTGTTCTCATTTGTAAGTCGCTTTAGATAAAAGCGTCTGCTAAATGACTAAATGTAATGTAAATGTAAATCTCAACAATGTCTCAAACTGCTCTCATTCAAGTTCAAAATTCTGCAATCAAAAGTCAAAGATTTCAAAATGAACTCAAACCTAACTTTTCTAATTATTTCAAGATTAAATGATCTGAGCAACATGCTATCCACATTCATCCTACAACACTATATTTTTGTGTCTAATCGTATATCTCCCAAGTAATTTTAGTAGGAAGAGTTGATTTCTAAATGAGAAACAACTGAAAAGTAAATCTCCTGGGATACGAAAGAACAATCCAGAAGGCTCTGAGCAAACCCCGAGGAAAATAATTTTTGAGGTGATGATGAAACATCTAGCGTAGCGTTAGTTCTGGCAGGTCACGTTAGTCAAGCTCGCATCAGCTGACTCTCAGCTAATCCCCATCAACCTATGGGAATACGACACCTATCCAAGTATTCATATATAAGGTCCCGCAGTAGTATCAGCAGTTTTCGCATTGCTCAATAGCTAATTACCCTCCTCCATCCCCAACTCCTCCTCTGTCAGTCAGGATTCAGCCTTCTGATTCTCCTTTGAATCAGACTAATTCTAAAATGTGTACATAACATTATTGAACTTTAACGATATCTGCAATACATTTATGTTGGTTCTGTTCTGTTTACCCTGGGGTGGTTATCGCTGCTCTCCCAGCTCTCATCCATGCTAGGCTGCATGGATGCGCAGGGAGTTCTTGCCCAGAACAGAACCATACCGCCAATCCAAACTGTATGCTAATTGTCAATCATCTTTGACGATAGTGGTCCTGACAGAAACGAGGATTAATAAACCAGAACTTGCACAAAAAAGATAAAGTCGCCGAGTGTAGAAGAATGACTAGCAAAAATTAGGCACGAATCCCCAGGAGGGGTACAGAGAGCAGCAAATAATTCCAAATCATAACAGGATGACCTAAAGGCACATACACAATTATTTCTAAATTGTATAAAGCATAAACAAGAGGTTGAATGTGTGTGAGAGTTTCAGGCCCATCACAGTCCAGCAAATGTGCTCCAATGAGCCATACATCACAACATCTGTCCATATGACTGTGTGCCACAGCACCTCTGGTTTTTCACTCAGTCCTCACTCAAAGTGACAGTGGCTTCTGCATTCAAGAAATAATTAACCCAAAATTGAAAATTCTGTCATAATTTACTATGTTGTTCCAAACCTGAACAACTTTCTTTTTTCATGTAAAACATAAAAGAAGAAATTCTGAATAATGTTGTACATAGCTCTTTTCCAAACAATGAAGAATACAATGTCTACATGTCAGGCTCCAAAACAACAACAGATAAGCATCTCAGAAGTACCATAAAAATAGTCCATATGACTTGTGCACTATATTCCCTGTCTTCTGAAACCATATGATACATTTATATGAGGAACTGTTGGACTTGAATGAGAGTTCAAACAGCTGATAAAAACATCACAATAATCCACAAGTAATCTACATGGCTTCAATTAGCCACACACCCATCATTACAGCATTTTAACTTTAAACCGTCGCTCCTGCTCAAAATACCAGTCCATATTCCATAATCAATAATAATGTTTCCTTATGTGGAAATAGTCCATCCTCTGTTGTCCTCTCACATCAAATTCCACCAACATATTTGTTTACGGCTATTTTGGACTGTTTTCGCTTGTGAACTGTGCTTGATCTGTACAAATTTCTCTCCTGATTCAGATGAGATGATGTTTTCACTGGAGAAAGCAATATTATGGAGAGAGGACTCAGTTTGAAGTTAAAATGTTAACGGATGGACTGGAGTGGTGTGGATTACTTGTGGATTATTGTGATGTTTTTATCAGCTGTTTGGACTCCCATTCTGACGACACCCATTCACTGCAGAGGATCCATTGGTGAGCAAGTGATACATTTCTCCAAAGCTGTTCCAATGAAGAAACAAACTCATCTACATCTTGGATGGGAGTAATTTTTCAGCAAATTTTCATTTTTTGGGTGAAATCTCTCTAAATGATTGGAGAAGTTCAGCATACTTCACCAGAGAGAAGTCAAGATATTTTCATTAAAAATGATGAGGTCAAAACAAAATTATAAAAAAAAGAGACATATGCATGGATGACTCATTCACATTAAAATCAATAACATGCATTTAGATCAATACTTATGGTCAGTTTCTGTTTCATGCAACTTTAATATAATTTGCACTTCTGCATCATTAACTTAGTCTGTCGCAATAGGTTATAAAAACACAACAACCAATGCTGTTTGCCATCACTGACATAAATTCTGGTACAATCTGGTACAAGGCTCCCTGAAACATTTAACATGTATGTGAAGTGAGTGACATAATCAGCGACTCTGGTCGCCAAGAGCCTCAACCGATCACAAGCAACATTTGCTTTTCTTCAGTGTTTTTGGGCATTTATTCTTGAGTGGAATGATTTATGCTGGGTTACTGAGTTTCTTTGGTGTTTATGAAAGAAAGCTTTTAGGCTGACAGCCAACACAGCTCCCAGATCAGCTAAACGCTAATGACGTTCAATATCACATCAACATGCTGTTCTGCAATCAACCTTCAAGGGAAGCACTAAAACAAGCCACTTCACACAATTACACAAAACAGAGTTAAAGTTGACCTCAGCTGTTTGGTAAAACAAGGACCGATTCTCACAATTTACACACACTGCTTTAGCTAATAGTACGCAAGAATATATTACTCAGCTGGTAGTAAATGACAAAAAAACAACTCATCTGAAAACTTGATCTGGTGTAAAGTGTTTCAAATGTATGGATTCGGTGTGAGGGATGTGTGCAGGCCTTTCTTCATGAATGATGCAGGAGAAAGCTGACAGATTTACCAGAGCTTTAACCTAGTAAAGCTCGCTTTCACCTTTCCTCAGTTTGCTTTGGGATCCAGAAGGGAATTCGTTCATTTAAGCTGATCCCTAAAACCATTTAGACATGGAATAAAAGAGCAAATCATAATGAGCTCATCTCTCATCCAGACTTCACCGGGATCTCCAACAAACCACCACTAGGGGCAGTTCAAAGCCTTCTACACATTTACTGCATCTGGAAATAAACTGCAGGGAAACTGACCCTACGTCTCAATGTTCATACTATCCATCCTAAATAGTATGTGAGATTAGAATAAGTGTGTCCCAAAGCATAGTATGCTGAAAAGAGTATGCCAAAAGTCCCCGGATGGTCTACTATTTCAGGTCGATTTTTGAAGTGTGGATCCGTGCACACTCTAATGGCTAATATTGCCCACAATACATTGCGATTTGGTGAAGGAATCGGTCAAGAACTACAAACACGAATAAAACACGTTAAAAACTACAAACATGGTGGATGTGCGCAACCGGCGGTTAGGTAGAGAGTTTAGAAAAAGGGGTTTGAGTTACTAATATTCAACATTTAACCTGGTAAAAAATATTTATTTAATGTTATCTGT